CCATGATTGGCTAGGTTGCTTCAGCTATTTCAGAGGCGGACATTAGTAGAATTTGACATTACAGGTTTGAGCACACAGGAGTGAAGTCACTACAGGCGTTGTGCAAACAGCAGCTATTGAAGGGAACCAAGAGTGGAAAAGTTGAGTTTTGTGAGCACTGTGTTCTTGGTAAGAAGACGAAGGTGAAGTTAGGGATAGCCATTCAAAGGACAAGGGGCATCCTAGATTATGTGCACACAGATGTTTAGGATCCCACAAAGACTGCATCATTTGGTGGTAGACATTGGTTCGTCACGTTTGTTGATGACTATTCTAGGCGTTATTGTGTGTACACCATGACGAAGAAGAGTAAATTCCTAGATATATTTGTGGAGTAGAAAGAAGAGGTTAGAACTGCAGACTGGGAGAAAGATTAAGAATTTGCGATCCGATAACGATGGTGAGTATACATCATACCCTTTTCAACAGCTATATCGAGACGAGGGCATAGAGAAACATTTCACGGTTAGTCATACACTACAACAGAATGATGTGGTAGAAAGATTAAATTGTTCTTTGCTGGAGAAGATCCGATGTTTGTTAGCGCATAGTGGTTTGGAGAATATCTTTTGGGTTGAGGTACTTTCATATGCGAGCCACCTCATGTACAGGTTACCTTTATCTGCGATTGAGGGGATGACCCCTATGGAGATATGGTCGGGACCCCTATGGAGATATGGTCGGGAGAGCCAGCACATGACTATGACCAGCTCATGGTATTTGGGTACCCTGCATACTATTATTTAAAGAGTGATAAGTTAAAACCTCGAGCTAGGAAGGCCATATTTATAGGATTAAAGCGTGGTGTCAAAGGATACAAGTTTTGGGATTCAGTTGATAGGAAGATTATACTGAGTAGAGACGTCAAGTTCGATGAGGCTTCTATCTTGAAGCTTCCTAGCTCTTATCAGGTGGAGAGCGACCTGACGGAGGAAATATCATAAGTGGTGGAGATCGATGCAGCTCGACATTGTCCTGATGATACAGTATCCATTAGAGTGCCGACTGAAGTGATGCTAGGCCAGCACAGCAATGACGAGGAGGATACGGGTATAGTTGTGTAGGATTAGGGACCGACGGCTCAAGTTCAGTATTCTACTGCGGTTCGAAGATAAAGGAAAGACATACGGATGCTAGCACAGTATACGGACACAGTAGTTACATATGCACTTCCGGTAAAGAGTATCGATAAGTTGGTGTCTACTACATTCAGAGAGTCTGAGCAGAATTCAGAGAATGATTCGTTACAGGTGTCTATGTAGGAAGAGATAGACTCCCTTCACAAGAACGATACACGAGAGCTTGTTGAGAATCCAACGGGGCGGAAGGCAATTGGTTACAAGTGGGTATACACGAAGAAGGAGGGCATTGAAAGCACTCCATTGATGTTTAAGGCTAGGTTGGTTGCGAAGGGCTATGCACAGGAGGAAGGTATTGATTATAATGAGGTTTTCTCTCCGGTGGTGAAGCATTCTTCGGTTCAAATTTTTCTAGCTTTGGTGGCACAGTATGGATTGGAGTTAGATCAGTTGGATATAAAGACGATATTTCTTCATGGTGATCTTAATGAAGAAATATATATGATCAGCCATTAGGATTCCTAATTGCAGGGAAGGAAAACCTGGTTTGCAGATTATAGAAATCGCTATACGGTTTGAAGCATTCTCCTCGATAGTGGTATAGGCGATTCGATGGTTTTATACTTGGTCATTTGTACACCCGAAGCCAGTTTGATCCTTACGTGTATTTTCGCAAGTTGAAAGGAGGTGCGTATATCCATTTGTTGCTCTATGTTGATGACATGTTGGTTGCCTTTATTTCTATGTCTTATATGGATGAGTTGAAGGCACAAATTTAAAAGGAGTTTGAGATGAAGGATTTAGTTAAGGCTAAGCGTACTTTAGGGATGGAGATCGACATAGATAAAGAGAAGGGCAGAATTTGTTTGACACATGTGGCTTATTTGAAGACGGTTCTACAGCGATTTCATGTTATCATGGACACGAAGCCAGTTAGTGTACCTTTGGGAGCCTATTTGAATCTTTAAGTTATCCTCTCACCGAAGACAATTGAAGATCGAGAGTTGATGTCAAATACTCCATATGAGAGTATAGTTGGGAGCTTGATCTACGTGATGGTATGTACGAGGCTAGATTTGTCACAGGCGGTGAGCATGGTTTCGAGATACATGTACAATCCAGGAGTGGGTCATTGGGATGCCGTGAGATGGATTTTAAGGTACATTCGAGGTACGCTTAATATTAGTTTGGTTTATGAGCGGGACACTACAGGTGGTAGTTATGTATTGGCTATGTTGATTCGGATTATGAAGGAGATTTGGATAAGCATCGGTCTACTACGGGGTGTGTGTTCACTTTGACCCGTGCATCGATGTGTTAGAGATGTACCTTACAGTCTACGGTGGCTTTGTCTAAGATGGAGGTAGAGTATATGGCGATAACAAAGGCTGTGAAGGAGGCTATTTTGTTTCAAGGACTTTTGGAGGAACTTGGCATATCGTAGGGGTCCATCACTATTCATTATGATAGCATGAGTGCTATCTATTTGGCGAAGAATTAGATTTTTTATGCGAAGACGAAGCACATTGACGTTCGTTATCACTTTATTCGGGATGTTCTTGAAGATGGTGATGTGGAGATCATTAAGGTCCACACGAAGGATAATCCGACGGATATGCTCACTAAGGTAATTCTGAGCAATATGTTTGATCATTGTCGAAACTTGTTGCACATTCGTGATTGTTGAAGCCGTTGACGACCATTTGAATGAACTATTGACGGCTTGATCCCTTGGGAGAGGGGGTACGTAGGCAACCACATTGGTGCAGATGAATTTGATGAGACGACGAATTGTTGCTCATGTTGGTATCGGCTTAGTTTTGGGAATACTTCGCCGAGATAAAGAATTGTTGGATAGCAGGTTCCTAATCTGTTTTAGTAACATGTTATTAGGATTTCTAATCTATTTTGGTAATATGATTCTTAATCTGTTTTGGTAACAGGTTATAAGGATTCATAATTTGTTTTGTTTTTGGTTTTAGAATTCCTAGTCTGTTTTGGTTTTATGTTTTCTATATATATGGAACGTCTTAGAAGAGATTAGGATCAAATCAAAAAGAGAAGAATTATAATCAAAGATTAGAGAGATATTTGAGCATTGTGAGAGAGAGAGATTGTGAGCAAGTTGAGAGTTTTGGTTAAGGATTAGTTTATGAGTTTTGTGAAATTGTAACCCTTTGTACTCTCATTTATTTAGTTGAATCTCCCCATCCTCTATCCGTGGACGTAGGTAAATTATCTAACCATGTATATCTCTGTGTTTATGATTGATCTATTGTATTTTAGTTTCTGTGTGATTGGTTATTCTTCTTCCGTGCTTACGACTTGTTTGGTGAGCGAGCACGCTTCCGTATAGGCGCGCGACAATTGATGTCAGATCACAACAAGATCTTCACCTGCCAAATAGGACGATCATGGGAACCTCAATCTTAAGTCTAATCTTATGGATTCAAACACCAGGCTTTTTCTTGCATCAACAGAACCACCACCACAACACATTCTGCTCTCAATTTAACTTCTCTATTTAGATAATGTCTACTTGATGATTAACCAGGTGGATAAAATAAGAAGGGGAGGAGAAGAGAAGTCCATCATAGAGAACTCAATGCTCTAGATTTTACAGGGTATGTGTGCCTTCAATTACTCCCCTCCGACTACTTTTTTCTGGCTTCTTACAAACTAGCATCTCAGGTAGCTGTGAAGTAATATTAATTTGAAGGGCAAATATTTGTGTTCTGTCTTGTATTTGTACCATATCAGACAGCATTGGGAACACATTCTTGTCATATCAGGGTCATTTTTTCATACCCTTACAATTTACTGTCATTTCCACTGTTGTGCTTTCTTGTTCATGACAATATGTTAACCATCTCTGTGTGTCATAGTGTAGATTTGGCATTCTTTAGGGGATTAGGTCACTTCGGGCTTAAACAGAAAATCCTAGCTTCATACCATTTTTCTTGGACATCTGCATATTTATGAGCAGATAGTTTCAAATTAAAAAAGAAAAGGGAAATCTGTCGACATAGCCAATGTTTTATTTGTCAGTGATTCTCCAGCATTATGTAATTTTTATTACAAAGTTTGGCACTTCCAGTTGAGTATATTAGATGGGCAATCGTTCAGTAACAATAATTAGATTGGGCTAATTTGCTCTGTGAGGTTCATCGTCCAAACAGGCGCCCCAAGGATGCTCGAACACCCAAACAGGCACTCCAAGGATGCTCCGGTCAAAATAATATTACCTTTCTACTTCAGTGTCGACCCTCAAATGAATGATCCAACTTCAGGGCTTAAAATCAAATTTTCAGACCAAATACACATTTTCAAAATTTCAAATTATAAATTAAGTATATTAAAGACATTGGAGCGGGATAGTTAATCCTTCTCATATATCCCTTGTTATATAATTCTCACCGTAGGAACCTAATCAATGATCAATTTAGTGCTTTAATAATAATAAAATGTTCCGTATCAATTGCTGGTAATTGATCATGTACATGTATTTTCTTATTCAAACTATAATATGTTATATATTAACAAACTCGGTGGGAAACCGCTCTACAGAATTTTGTTAAATTATGTCAACAGAAGGTTGGCCGAAAAATATTGTCAGTGTTAAATATTGTTTGGGCCTCAAACATTATTTGCATTGAAACGGTGAAAGAAGACAATGCATTAAACGGTGAAAGAACGAGCGTTAAAATTCTTTTAGCTAGCTGATATAAGAAGAAGGATGTATTAGTTAAGCGTTTAAATAGTTTCTATTTTCGTTGCAATTGCCAAACACATAAGAGCGAGAGACTTGAGGTATATGCACATAAAATCATTCCTTATTGAATATTTTAATAGACTTGAGGTATACTCCAACAATTATTTCCCCTCTCGGTCATTGCTGCACGGGTCTGTTGCTGGGAACCATCTTGAACCATTGACCCTCAGGATCGCAGTTCTTGTCTTCACCGATGCAGTTGCAGGGATTCGTGATGAGAGTGCTGCCATCAGAGCCGATATCCAGGCATAGATTAGTCACCGATGCAGTTGCAGGGATTCGTGATGAGAGTGCTGCCATCAGAGCCGATATCCAGGCATAGATTAGTCTGTGAAGTGATGTGTAGTTTCGAGTTTGATATCAGATCCCATTTGAAGCTATCCAGGCATAGATTAGTCTGTGAAGTGATGTGTAGTTTCGAGTTTGATATCAGATCCCATTTGAAGCTATCACTGTTAGCGAAATTCTGGAGCGTCACCGGCTGGCCTGCACCTGATTCCTTCAGGAACGAGTCTGAATTTACGAGCTGGATGGTCTGACCATTATATTTCCAACCTCTCGGTGAGTCACAAGGGCCTAAATGCAATGACGAATTTGTCGAACCGTCCTGGACGACGCACGACCCTGTTTTCGGATGGTAGAGCACGGTGTTGAGGGGATTGTTGAGTCCTGGACCTGAGTCAAGAATTAAAATCGTATCGTTATTTACGCAGTTAGTTACAAAAGGACAGCGTGACGGTATTAGGGCATTTTGTTAACTAATTATACCTCGGAAGGGAGATTTTATAGAAGCGAGCCGATGTAGGAAGGTAGCATTCCTTGGTCCAGACCAATCAAAATTCATAGCACCATAAGCCTCCTCCACATCGAGTACGCCTTCTCTTAGGTAATAACTCCCTTGCAAACCCCAGAGAGCCCAATCAAGGTCCAGCTCAGCTAGAGCTGCCAGAGCACAGCTCGAGTATCTGTTGTCATTCCTGTTCCCTCCCCCCTGATCGATCCCCCACTCGCTCATGAACAACGGAGTTCCTTGACTCAGCACGAACCCCGCATTGCTCATTATGTTGGAGGTTATAGAGCCGCAAGCATCATTGGCGTTCTGATTGCTCCACGTACCGGTATTTGTGAACGCGTACCAGTGCACCTCATGGACGAGCTTGTTGGGAAAGGAGAGCTCGAGTTTTTTTTTCGACAGAAAGCTGAGGTCATTATCGAAGTTGAGTCCTGAGAGTATGACGAGGACGTTAGGGTTCGCTTGGTGAACCGCGTCGGCCCCCATCGGCATGTACTTGTACCAATCTGGAACATTTTGTCTTGGACCCCTGAGCTCATTTCTCAGGCTCATGCCGACGACATTGGTGACTCCGTTGAACAATCCGGCCATTTGTGAGAGCCCGGCGAGCCATTCGTTAGGATTGAAGAACGGGTCCCAGAAGAAACCATTGCCGTCATTGTTGTTGCAGCACCAGCCCGGCTGAGTTAAGTGATTGTCCAGGATCACCATTATGTTGTTGCTCCCAAGATTTGCCACCACAGCCTGCATCATATTTGATCCAACATAAACAAAGAAGAAATTATTATTATTCATACTCAAATTCACCATAATCAACTATCTTTTGTATTTGGCTGGATGCTGGACACGTGCGTGTTTAGGCAACCATATATATATCTTATTTTTCAATTTGTTTCGTATTCTTCATGATAGAAGCCAACTAATCCTTCAGTTTGCTATACTATATCTTATTTTTCAATTTGTTTCGTATTCTTCATGATAGAAGCCAACTAATCCTTCAGTTTGCTATACTAAACAAAAAGGTTGCTGGTCATCAACATTCTTCATGATAGAAGCCAACTAATCCTTCAGTTTGCTATACTAAACAAAAAGGTTGCTGGTCATCAACAGTTAATAAAAGAAAATGTCAAAAATGAATACAGTAAACAAACTACCCTTTCATGAAAACGTCCGTGTTGGTGTTAAATGCTGCTCGTCCTTACTTAGTATTATCTTCACTTATTTTGGTCATGTTGTTACATCCGAGTCACTATACGGATTTCAAATTTTACTTGTGAATCAACTAGGTCAACAGTATCACAAAAATTAATGTTATATTTTTCTCATGGTTAATTATGATGCATTTCCTGCATTTTAAATAACATTTAAAATGCTTTTTAGTTGCATTGTGCAGGACGGAGAACTAGCTAGTAATGCATAAAGGAACCTACACAATTACTCTTTTACAAACCTTTCACGTATAGCATGCAATAATTAAACGTATTGAAATTAAAGCAACTATAATAACTTTTCTAGTTGTACACAAACCTAAATGAACTTTTAAACTACTCTATATCTTTAACTATAGAGAACGCCTAAAGCAACAACAACAGTATGCCTACTCAACAAAAAATAATAATAATAATAAAACCAGCAAAAATAATTAACACAAGTTCTATATCTACTGAAACAAAATTACGAATCAAATGCGACCTATCCTACAAATATAGGACTTATAACCATAAATGAGCTGTAATAAAGAACCCCACAAGCAACAACGTTAAACACGATTTCTATTTTTTGATAGCTCACCTTGTACGCTTCGATGAGCGTCTTGTCCAGGATCCAAGCATTGTTTTTCGTCAATCCATCGAGGGATACATTGAGGCCGAGCCCTTGGAAGGATTGACGAACGGTGAGCGTAGCATAGGAGGAGTTAGTAACAAGGTAGAGAGGCCATGTGAGCCTAACACAGTTGAAACCCATCGAGCCTATTAACTTTGATATGGCATCCAACGGGCTCTTGCTGAGCCCCTCGGCGACCACTGGGGCCAAATGAGATGGCCAGTTTGCGCACGCGAGCTTGACACGTTGGCCTGACTCGTTGACGATCCATCGGTCCGAGGTGGAAAGGAAGCCTGACGTCGGCTGTGGATTTAGAGTCTGGAAAAGGATGATGAAGAGGAGGAGGGCGGGAGAAGTGTGGAGGAGGGACAGCTTCATGGTTATGGAATAGGGTAGGAGAAAAGTAAGTGAGCGTTTGTGACTGATGAGGGGTACTCCGGGGGTTTAAATAGATAACTAAAATGGATAATGTGAATCTGAAATATAAGGTATGTTTAGCTGTCACGATTCAGATTCAGGAGAGTTGTTAGGATTTTCTATTTTTATCCATACGCTCTGATACCAATTGACGCAGCGTGGAAGTGATAACTTCGGAATCCATCAAGGGTGTTCTCTGAATCCACAAAGAACGATCTTCGAATCCACGAAGAAAATATTGAGAAGAGAAATTTTATTAATCAAAAGTTATTCTTTTTTTCGGGTTACATGACTTTTCTTAAATAGAAAAACAAATAAGACTCCTAGTAAGACTAGAATTATAAAAATAAAAAGTATCAAATAAGACTCCTGGTAAGACTAGAATTACAAAAATAAGAAAGTGTTAAATTCTATCCTAAAAAGACTCCTTATAATAGAGGAAACAAATCATGAATCAAAATTGATTTTGTTTCCTAATCTAATTTGACTCTAAAATTAAATTTATTTCCTAATCTATATTTTCTAATCTAAATAGAAATTTATTTCCTAATCTATATTTTCTAATCTAAATAGATTCCAACTCAGATTAAGCGTCCTACATCAGTCACCCATTGTTGAAAGAAGCTCGACCTCGAGATTATATTTGTTAGAATAGTATCTTCATTGATAAATAATTTACTTCTCTTGCAATGATCAACATCTACCTTATACTTAGTACCGATTTTCTTCATCTATTGTTTTGCCACTTCAGTTAGAACTTCTTCTGACTCAAATTCTTAAATAAATCTTTTATACACCATGGTTACGTGTCTGACAGCAGGTGGATCTGCAATTGACATGATAAACTCCTCAAAATATGTTCCATGTTGCTTCTCATAGTCTCGTCTTACTAGGAGTCTTATTTGTTTTTCTATTTAAGAAGAGTCATTTAACCCAAAAAAAAGAATAACTTTTGATTAATAAAATTTCTCTTCTCAATATTTTCTTCGTGGATTCGAAGATCGTTATTTGTGGATTCGAAGATCGTTCTTTGTGGATTCAGAAAACACCCTTGGTGGATTCCGAGGTTATCACTTCCGCTCTAAAACCAATTGACGCAGCGCGGAAGTGATAACCTCGGTTGGTGGATTCCGAGGTTATCACTTCCGCTCTAAAACCAATTGACGCAGCGCGGAAGTGATAACCTCGGAATCCACCAATGGTGTTCTCTGAATCCACAAATAAATGATCTTCGAATACACGAAGAACTTCGAATCCACGAAGAAAATATTGACAAGAGAAATTTTATTAATCAAAAGTTATTCTTTTTTTGGGATTACATGACTCTTCTTAAATAGAAAAACAAATAAGACTCCAAGTAAAGGGCTGTTTGGTTGCACACTTTTTGAGAAAATTTTTCTCAAAACACCTGACAATGACAAATTTGTAATTAAAAGTTTTTCAGAGATTTCTGTAAATTGTGTTTGGTTCAACAAAAAATTTACAGAAATATTTTCTATAAAATATCAAAACCTACCAAATTTTACAAAAAGTAATTTAATCTCAAAATGAGAGGAAATCATCAGAAATCTGACACATACCATATTTAATTAAAAACCTACTAAATCTTGTTTTTTTCTATAAAGGGGCTGTTTGGTTGTTGTTGGTAAAGTTGTGTATTTATGACACAACTTGGAAAGTTGTTATCCACCTCATCAATTTCAATTTTATACTTTTCCTTGTTTATTTTTGATTATATTGGAATCATAAAACACTTGTTTGGTTTACAAAATAAAACTTTAATTGTTTATTTGGAAAGTGTAAAATGTGGTCCCTACTCAAATGATTATATTGGTTGGAATTATTTTTTATTATTTTTTCCTAACTTCAATGTTAGCTTTCTCCTAAAATCATGTTTTTTTTTCATGAAATCACTTTACAAGTCACATCAACATATGAAATCACTTTACACTATTTTTACAACTACAAACAAACAATTGAAAGTGATGAAAGCTGACATTGAGACCCACTTTTTTACACTTTACATCCTTTTACATGGTAAAAACATACAACCAAACAGCCCCAAAGTCATGAGCTATTTTCTTGTTTTGAACCAAACAAGAAAAGTATAAAAAACAAGAAAATTGGTACTTTTTAATTTCCCAAAACTTTTCCTATAATTTTTTTTAAGAAATACAAGGAAATCATATTTTAGGTGGAAAACATTTCCTATAATTTCTAACAATTGAACCAAACACCCCCTAAGACTAAAATTATAAAAATAGAAAGTATCAAATAAGACTCCTGGTAAGACTAGAATTACAAAAATAAGAAAGTGTCAAATTATATCCTAAAAAACTCCTTATAATAGAGGAAACAAATCATGAATCAAAATTGATTTTGTTTCCTAATCTAATTTGACTCTAAAATTAAATTTATTTCCTAATCTATATTTTCTAATCTAAATAGATTCCAACTCAAATTAAGCGTCCTACATCAGTCACTCCTTGTTGAAAGAAGCTCGACCTCGAGTTTATATTTGTTAGAATAGTATCTTATTGATAAATAATTTTCTTCTCTTGCAATGATCAATATTTGCCTTGTACTTAGCATTGATTTTCTTCATCTATTGTTTTGCCTCTTCAGTTAGGACTTCTTCTGACTCAAATTCTTGAATAAATCTTTCATACACCATGGTTACATGTTTGACAGTATGTGGATCTGTAATTGACTTGAAAAACTCCTCAAAATATGTTCCATGTTGCTTATCATATTCTAGTCTTACTAGGAGTCTTATTTATTTTTCTATTTAAGAAGAGTCATGTAACCCCTAAAAAAGAATAACTTTTGATTAATAAAATTTCTCTTCTCAATATTTTCTTCGTGGATTTGAAGTTCTTCGTGGATTCAAAGATCGTTCTTTATGGATTCAGAGAACATTATTGAAAGATTCCGAGGTTATCACTTCCGCTCTGATAACAAAAATAGAAAGTATCAAATAAGACTCCAGGTAAGACTAGAATTACAAAAATAAGAAAGTGTCAAATTCTATCCTAAAAAGACTCCTTATAATAGAAGAAACAAATCATGAATCAAATTTGATTTTGTTTCCTAATCTAATTTGACACTAAAATTAAATATTTATTTCCTAATCTATATTTTCTAATCTAAATAGATTCCAACTCAGATTAAGCGTCCTACATCAGTCTTCCCTTGTTGAAAGAAGCTTGACCTTGAGCTTATATTTTTTAGAATAGTATCTTCATTGATAAATAAATTTTTTCTCTTGCAATGATCAGCATCTGCCTTGTCCTTAGCTGTGACGCCCCTGGGTTCACACAAGGCTGCAGTCCAAGGTGAAATCAGGAATGTCAAACCTGTCATGCACTACACCGTGCAATAATACGTTTCATCATCATAATAAGTATCCATCTAGTGGAATCAACAACAGGTGTAGGTACAAAACAGGCAAAAGAAAATATAATGGAACAGTAATAAACAATAGGTGATCTGAAGAAAATAGTCATCACTGATATGAGTAAATAAATCTCTGAGAAGAAACAATATCTGAGCTGAATACAAATGTCTCGACACAGGGAAAAATAACATTTATGAACCTCGCCTTTACAAAAACTAGAATAAACTCTCAATTAAAGTCCTCGTGTTGGACTATAATCCATTTCAGTCCTCGTGTTGGACATTTACCTTTTAGTCCATGTGTTGGACATTTACTTTTCAGTCCATGTGTTGGACACTCACTTTTTCGTCCATGTGTTGGACGTTTACTTTCAGTCCATGTGTTGGACAACCACCTTTCAGTCCATGTGTTGGACATCCACTACTTTTGATTTTAGTCCATGTGTTGGACATCAATTTAGACCTTGATTTTGACATTTATACTGTATATGCTTTACATGACATGTACATGAGTTGTGACATGAGATAGTATATGAGTTCGGAGTTTGGGTGTGCGATTCTTCCTATTATTATTATTGTTCCTGTTCTAGCTCTTGGGTTTGATATTTAAGGGTTTGCAACTTGAGATAACGAGGTATATACATGAGGGTTTCCTTGTTTGGATTATTTCGCTCGACGTACCTATGCTCGTGTTGTAAATTCCTAAATATTAAAGCCCTCTTTGTTAGGACTAATGATTTTGTATCTATTATATATTATCTGTATTTTCTGTATACAACGAACCCTCTCCCTTGGGGTTGGTTGTGATGTTACCCGCTATAGAGCTTTGACGCTCGTTGTTTCCCCACTTTCAAGTAACGAGCCAGGTGCACGGAGAGCCGTAGGTTGATGGATTTGCTCTAGCAGTTATTCATAGATATTATTAGTATATGTTTGAACTCCACAATAAATTTTGTTTATGAACAATTGAGAGTTTATTCTAGTTTTTGTAAAGGCGAGGTTCCTAAATGTTATTTCTCCCTGTGTCGAGACATTTGTATTCAGCTCAGATATTGTTTCTTCTCAGAGATTTATTTACTCATATCAGTGATGACTATTTTCTTCAGATCACCTATTGTTTATTACTGTTCCATTATATTTTCTTTTGCCTGTTTTGTACCTACACCTGTTGTTGATTCCACTAGATGGATACTTATTATGATGGTGAAACGTATTATTGCACGGTGTAGTGCATGACAGGTTTGACATTCCTGATTTCACCTTGGACTGCAGCCTTGTGTGAACCCAGGGGCGTCACATTAGCATTAATTTTCTTCATTTGTTATTTTGCCTCTTCAGTTAGG